CGCGGGGCGGGGCGCGGGGCGGCCGGGCCAGGGCAGGGCATGCACCAGCCGCCGCCGCCCCCCGCAGCCCCCTGCCCGCGCCCGCCCCGCAGCCGTCCCCCGGAGTCCCCGGGCCATGGTCCGCCGCCGGGCTACTGGCACTGCCCACCCCCGCCGCGGCCCCGGTCCGCGGCCCCGGGGGGGAGCCCTCCGGGACCCGGGGCTGCGGCCAGGACGCGGCCGACCCCGCCGCCTCCCCCGGCGCCCCTCGGAAACTTCTCCCGCTCCCCCTCCTCCTCCTCCTGCTGCTCTGCCCGCGGCCCCTGGAGCCCGAGCCCAGCCCCGCTCCAGCAGGTAGGCGGGCGGCGCGGGACGGGGCGCCCAGAGTCCTGGGGCTCCCCGGGAGGCGGCAGCGCGGGCCGGGGGGCGCGGGGGGCAGCGGGATACAGGTGGGGGACAGCGGGCTACAAGCGGGGGCTGCGGGGGACAGCAGGCTACAAACGGGGGGCAGTGGGCAGCAAGTGGGGAGCTGGAGGTAAGGGGTCGAGGCGGGCAGGGGGTTCCGAGGGGCCAAGGGCTTCGGGAAGGGGTCCGTGAAGGGCAGGGGCCAGCCCTGTGGCTGGTGAGGCGACAGTCGCCCGGCTTCCAGTGCGCTGGCCAGGTATCTGGGCGGGAAGATTAGGGGAGGGATTGCAGGGTCCCTCAGGAAGGAATCCTAGGAGGGAGTCACCTGGGACCCTTCCCCATGCCCGGGGCCTGGCAGGTGGCCCCCCCCAGTGCCTCAGCGGTAGGGGCGGGTGTGAGTGCGTGTGTGTTGATGCCGCACAGTGGAAAGAGACACAGACGGAGGGCGCCCGGTGGCGGCGTCAGGCTGGCTCGGGAGAACCGCCACTAATTGCACCCTGAGCCACTGGGGAGCTGTGGGAGGGAGCCCCGAAGCCCGAGACACTTAGCTTAGGCTGAGAGAGGCACCAGGCAATTAGTCGGGGCCGTTGCATAATGCAAAGACCTTCCTCCTTTGTCTGGAGGGAGAGGGAAGTCAGAGTCTGAGCCCCAGGTTGGCGAAGAATCCAGCCCCAAGGGGAGGGGAGGGTCCTTGTTGGAGCCCATGACCCGAAAGAAAGGGGTGGACCCTGGCTGGGTAAGCTGCTCCCGTCCTTCACCCAGTACTGCCCATCTGCTCAGTAGGAAGGTAGCTCCCATCTTTCCTGTGCTCTGTCCTCCAGGCGCTTCCTTCTGGGAAAGTTGAAGTCCCTTTCCCAGTGGGAAGGGATGCGGAATGCCAGAGCTCTGGGTCAGTTTTAAGGGGGACTCCCGCCCAGTTGTTTCCTTCTGGGAAAGTTGAAGTCCCTTCCTGAAGAGGAGGTGGGAATGTTGAGATTGAGAGTAGGGTTTTGGAGTAGATCTAGGGTGGTTTTACCTCAATCTTGTAGGGGCAGGAAAAATCAGTTCCTTTTCCAACCCCACCGAAGCTATGGGCCTGGGGGGAGCCTTGGACCTTTGGAGTTCCTCTTCTTCTCAGTTTCTTTGGAGAGCTGCCTTCTTCAGGATGGTCTTTCTCCCTACCACTCCTCTGAGTCACTTGATTCAAACTAGGTCTCTGCCCTCAGCTTTGATTCTTAGAGTGGGAGATGTGCTTGGGCTTCCTGATCCTTTCTGTGATTCTGGGTCCCACATTTGACCTTGAGCAAGCCCCTTCTTTTCTTGGGAGTAAAATGAGGGAGCTGGTCCCTCCCACCTCTCATATCCTGCGTTCTGAGGTCCTTTTCAGCTGTCTTGTGGCGTTCTAATGTCTTCCCCAGCTCTCAGGATGTGTTCTAAGGGTCCTCCCAGCTCTGATAGTCTAGGTTCTATTGACTAGTTGTTCCCAGGAATTCATACTAGCCATATCACCACTACATAGGCAGGGACCACAAGCATGTGGGGGAGGGGGGAGAGAAGAAACCTTTCTGTTGTCTTCCCCAGTACCACCTGAGGCAGCTCCCATCCACCCTCTAATCCCCGTCTGCCAGAACTGGAAGGGCACTGAGACATCTTGTTCAACCCTCCCCTGTTATTTTACTCAGTTAGGAAACTGAAACCCAGAGAGGAGAAAAGACTTACGTAGCATCAGCCATAGTCTGTGACCACAGCTGACTCCTTTCACCCAGTAGATATGAGGAAGGAGGGTTTTTCCTGAAGCACACTTGGTCCATTTGACACTGGTACATCTGCCAGGGGACCTTTTGGCCACTCCAGTCGAGTAGTGACCTTAGGAGTCTTCCTGAGTCTGCCCCACACCAACCTGGGCTCTTCAAAACTCGGGTCAGATAAAAATGGGGTGGGGGGAGAAGGCCAAAAACAGCATGGCAGGAGCTCCTGCTGTCCATGGACTGTGTGTCCCGAGGCATTCAGCCCATGAGCCAGATCTCCAAATGACAGCTGTCAACGAATTTCTAGAAGGTCACTTGTTCCTGGCCCTCCAACCCACTCCCCTCCCTTCTTGTTAAGCCCCTTTAATAGCCTTCAGCCTCCACAGCCCGGGTGAGAATTCCACCATGATCCTGCGTGTGGATTTAAGGTGCAGCATTTGCTGGGTGATAGAGAATCATAGACTCACAGAATGACGGAACCAGGAAAGGCCATTAGACCATGTGATTTCAGAGCTGAGAGGGCCCTCAGGCCAGACTCAGAAGACCCTATGGGCCAAGGGGCATAGAAAAAAATGTTCAGTAAATAGAGAAGGAGCCCCGTGGTAAACATCAAATTAGGAATCCAGAGAACTGAGCTGCCCCTCCCTCCTCCCACCTTTGCTACCACCCAACTCACACAAGGTGTGACCTTGAGCACCAGGTCCCTTGTGCTCCCTGAGCCTCAGTTTCCCCATGTGTAAGATGAAGGCCTTGGGAAGGCCAGTTTTTCCCATCCCTTCCAGCTCTGACATTCTACCATGTTTTGTCCTTTGTAACAAGTGTTCCTTTCCTCCTCGTGGCTTGCCAGCTTTTTGCTTCGACCTTTCTTTCTCTGGCTTTTTGGTTCCTTTTCCAGGCAAAACAACATCTCTGCCTGTTCACCTTGGGAGTATTTTTAACAGGTCGTTCTGAGACTAGGGAGTGAAGGGATAATTAGCCCTCTGTTTGGCTGTGGGAGCTGGGCAGGCCCATAATCATCCCTCACATAGGCACCCGGTTTTGTAGTTTACAAGGTGCCTCTGCAAAGTGATTTTGAATAATCCAATATCCTTTTTTGATCCTTACAAGAGCTCCGGAAGGTAGGTGGTGTAAATTGTGTTAGCCCCTTATTAACTGATGGGGAAACTGAGACCCAGAAAGGGGAAGTGGCTGCCTATTATCCCAGGTCCAAGCAGAGTCAGATCTGGAACCCACATCCCCAGACTCTAGCCCCCAGGGTCTTTCGTCTGTATAAAGCTGTAGAAGGTGTCTTTTTCCTATTCAAAGGTTTCCTCCATCCTGATTCTCAGGCCCTGGAAAAGAGGCATCTTCTCCCCTCCATGTTGGGAGCAGGCAGTCACCCTGATGCCAAGATTTACCCTCCAACAACTTTGCCCTCCTGCTTCCCTGACCCACCCCTGGCACCCTCAGCCCTAACCCCTGCCGAGCCATGGACTCTCCCCAGAGCTCTGTCCCATGCTGCCCAGATCAACCTTAACCAGTTTTGACAACATTGACTCGTCAACCCTGAGCCATCGTACGCTCTGCTGGCATGGTGTTCATGATTGTTATTTGTTATGTGGTGACTGTTATGGGGCTTGGTCTTCCTCGGTCACACTGGGGGCTGAGTAGCCTTGGACAGCTAAAATGAAGGGCTTAGCTCTGAGTTCCCTTTCAGTTCAGTGGCTGTGATCAAATAATCCTCGGTGACTCCTCCTCTCAGGGCCTCAGTTTCCTTAGGTGTCCAATGGATAATGGATATCTAAGATCCTTGCTGGTTCTGACCTGAAAGTTCTGTGGTTCTGTAACAAACAGGGAAATGCCATCCCCACTGAGGCCAGTCCAGATCAGTGGTGTGCCCTGAAGCAGCAGGCACTAAGTTAAACCTAAGTGGAACATCCCAAGGAAAGGCTTGGAAACCCTAAAACACATTACCTGAGAATTGAGGTGAAATTTGAGCACGTTTCTGATGGTCTCTCCTAACCTGACTATTCTCAGGCTCCCTGAGGCCTTCTCTTTTAGGGACCAGAAACTTGTTCCCATACATTAGCCCAACCTGGCAGCAAGGAAATTAGCATAAAAGGAATATGCAACTTACATCTGAGTCTCAGTTTCCTCATGTGTAAAATGTGTCAGATTAGATGATTTCTAAAATCCCTTTCAGCTCCAAATCCTATGATCCCTTCTGGCTTCTACCCTCTGTCCATGTGTAGAGATAATTAGAGGTTAGAATCTTAGAAGTGGGCTCACAGGATTCCAGGAACTTCCAAAATATATTAGGTTCTATTTCTGAGCAGGAAACCGTACAGTAGCATCTCAGAAGGCTAATGTCTCAGTCTATTTGAGCTCTCTACCAGTTGGGGTGATCCCTCCCACTGTTAGCTGTCATTGCTGACAGAGGTGGGAAAGCATGTTCGGAGAGTGAAGTGACCTGGGAATCAGGAACCCGGGTGTTCATGTCCTGGTTCTTACCAGCTGTGTGATCCACCCTTGGCAAGGCTTCTTCACCTCTCTCAAGCCTCAGTTTCCACATCTGGCAAATGGGGGTGATGATCCCTTGATCAGCTCCCTCCCAGGACTGGTAATGCTTAAAGAGCCCTAGAAATAGAATTTTATTTATCATAGGAATTTTATTCCACTGAGATTTAAGCAAAGTTCATAGGAGTGGGTTGGAAGGGGTTGTAGGAGTTTTATAGCTGGACAACAGCACAGAGATTACTCAGCCACCCCCCATGACTGACCAGGAATCCCCTCTGTGGTGTGCCAGACGAATGGACCGTCTTTGTTCCCGTGCCGTCCAATGACAGTGACACCTGCCTTGCATCATCGCTGGGGCCGTCCTGACTCACAGCCTCCCCTTGCTGCCCGCAGGTTGGCGTCGACGGCGGGAGGCTGAGCCATGCCGCCTCAAGATCAGCGGGCAGCGAGCCCAACCCCTTTGTCCCGAGAGCCATGAACAGCTGCAGGTACAACGGGGGCACGGGGCAACCCCCAGGCGGTCTCGGCTTCTCCGTCCATGAGCCCGAGGGCCAGCCCTTGCAGGCCCTGGGTAGCAGGGGCGCCCGTCGAAGCTCGGGCCTGGAAGTGGTTGTGTCTAAAGGGGAGCAGGTGCGGGTGTCCCCGGCCAGCCTGCATGACCGAGTGGAGGAGGAGGAGGAGGAGGAGGAAGGAGCCCGTCCACCCAGGAGGGGCCTGAGGAAGACGCAGAACGTGGGCTACCGGCTTGGGCACCGTCGAGTGCTCTTTGAGAAGCGCAAGCGGCTCAGCGACTACGCTCTGATCTTTGGCATGTTTGGCATAGTGGTTATGGTGACTGAGACGGAGCTGTCCTGGGGCGTCTACACCAAGGTACCCTTCCTCTAGCATCACACCCTCCCCGGCAAAGTCTGCCCGCTCTCCTGGGAGACTTGTTAGAAACTCAGTAGGGGCCTCCACAGGTGTTTACTCTCAGGCCCCCCTCTTTTCAGCTCCTGGCTCTTTCCCTGACTGGCCGTCCCTTCTCTTTGAACCCCAGTAAAGCTGTGGTGTTGGATGGACCAGAGCAGGGGTCTCCTCCAGGGGCCCGCGAGCCCGCAGGAGGGCCACAGATCAATGTCAGGGCATCTGTAAACTTGGACGGGGGAAAAAATGACGTCTTTGTTTTCACAAACCTTTAACTAAATGTGGTTGGTTGTTATGTTTTGTCTTTTGGCATGACCAGTTTATTACATGAATGAGATACACTGGTCCAAATTAAACAGCAGACCCCAAGTGGTTACATTACACAAGCTGGGAGGTTGGCTTATTTTAAAATTTCTTCTGAGAAGGGAGGGGTCCATGATACCAAAAAGTAAGAAGCCTTGGGCTAGAGGATAGTATTAGTGGAAAGAACACCTGGCTCCCGGTGAGTTGGAGGTCTTGGGTTCAAATCTCACTTGTGTTCATTACCTGTGTTACCTCGGGCAAGTCACAATCTCACTGGGCCTCTGTATTCTCAAGTGAAGAAGGCAGGGTGGGACTAGACCCTGAGGCCCCTGGGCCTTTCCTTCTGAGCTGTTCTGGAGCCAAGGCTAGGGCAGGAATCAGCTTAGCTCCTGACCATCCTTGATCTCAGTCCTCAAGGCAGGAGCCTTTTGTGGACAATATTCATGGAAGCCTTTTCTACAGAAATGAGTGTCTAGAAGAGAGCCCAAAGGCAGGGAAGGAAGGCTCTGAAACAGGGAAATCCAGAGGAAAGAGGAGGAAAAAGAAAGAGAAGGAGCCCAGACGGCCAGAATCGAAGGGGAGAAGGGGCCTTCCTCCAGGACCCATGTTCTCTGGGCCTTTCCCCCAGTGCTCTGATTCCCTAGAGGCTGTGTGACCTTAGACCAATCGCTTATCCTCTCAGGTCTTCACTTTGCTTCTCTGTCTGTGTAGCCCCTGGACATCATGAGGAGGGTATCCCCTGCTCTTCCCTCAAGCTGACTTCCCAGGCTTTTGCAGGGAGGATGTCTGAGATCTAACTATTCATGGGCCAGAAGAGCTAAGATAAGAGACTTAGGGACGCCATGTAACTCCCTGTGTGACCATGAGCAAACTGTCTCCCCTCCCAGAATCACTTTAGCCATCTGCAGAATGGGCCTGGTAACACTGACCATCAGGGGATGCTTTCTGTTAATCAATTGTGTTTCACACCCGTCTTTTTCCTCAGTTAGCCCTGGGAGATGTGGCTGTTGTGTGATGGCAGAGGCCTGGGTCTAAGCGCCAGCTCTGGGGCATCTGGCTGCATTATTCTGAGCCGCTGGTTAGACTTGTACTTCAGATCCCACTTTGTCATGACAAACGGTGGTGAACCCTCGAAGGGTTGGAATCCTTGTTATCACCTAGGGAAGAGGATGGAAGAAGGCTGAGAGGCCCCTGGGAGGCCAAGTCCTATGACTGCCAACTCACTATGCTTCCCAGTACGTCACCTGGCCTCCCGGGGCACCATGCCATAAATACACATTGAGTTTTTACAGGAAGCCTTGAGGGTAGCACGTCCCATTGCCCCGGACTTTTCCATGAAGGATTATTCCTCTTTCCCTGTAGACCTGCCTCCAGCCCATTACCAAAAGGAAAAGCTGGGGGGGCTTTGCTGCTGTCTAGGAAAGAGTCTTAGAGTTGAGGTCAGAGGATCTGGGTTAAAATCCTGCCTCTTGTAATTAGTCACTGTATGACTTTGGGCAGATCACCTGACGTTTCTGAGTCTTCCTTTCCTCCTCTTTAAAATGGGGGTGTTGTAATCCCTGTGTTCTGAAGTTATTCCTGGCTCTAAATCTACAATCTTACATGAGGTGTGGCCACTCCCCCAACCCTGACTCTCATGGACCCCTTGCTCTCTCGTTCCCAGGAATCTTCATATTCATTCACACTAAAATGCCTTATCAGCCTCTCCACTGTCATCCTGCTGGGTCTCATCATCATGTACCACGCCCGGGAGATCCAGGTGAGTACCTCGCCTCAGCCCCACCCCGTGCCCAGAGCTCCCACAGCCCAGCAGTAGAGGGCAGCTCCTTCTGGCCACAGCCTGGGAGAAACCCCTCTACTGGGCCAGGGGAAGTGGGCTTCCCTGTTAAGGCTTCTGCTCCAAGAGGCCAGCCAGCCTGGGCTTTCCAAAGGATGCATTCAGCTCATTCAGCAAACACTGATTCAGTGCCCACTGCAGACAGGGTCCTGTGGATGGAAAGGAAAAAATACATCAATTCTTGTCCTCTAGGGGAGAATTTCCTTTTGGGGCAATCAGCATACCCTCAGAGAGGTAAAGAGCAAGTAATTGGAGTAGGGAGTAGAGACTGGGAGGAAGGCTCTCTCGAACCACTCAAGTGAGCCAGTGGGACCAGATGGTCTCTAAGGCCCTCCAAGCTCTGACCTTCTGTGTTCTAAGGGCCCTCCCAGCTCTGCCATCCTGTGTCCTGAGGGCCCTCCCGGCTCTGCCATCCTGTGTCCTGAGGGCCCTCCCGGCTCTGCCATCCTGTGTCCTGAGGGCCCTCCCGGCTCTGCCAT